GCAGTATTAGCTGAAGTCTGTCATTTCTATTCAATATTAAATTTCAATAGTTCAGCATTCCTTTTCTATTACATTCAAGACTGCTCATTATCTTGTGTCTGTGGTGTCGGTGCAGCAGGAGTGAGCAGATCACCTTAAACAAACACTGCAGTGCTGGAGAATCCATCGTCTCTCAGAGAGTCCACACTCTCCGTCAGCGCATGAGGATCAGACAGAAAGACACTCCACAGCTCAGGGCTACTGCAGGATCATGAGTTTGCTAAAGAGAGTCAGAAGGTTTCTTCATTTCAGCAGGAACACATGTGATTGAGAACAGACGCTCGACTCGTACAAACCAAACCCTGCTGCATCTGGACTCAACATCAGCACTCAGGCCTGGAACTCATTCAGCTGCATCATGATGGTAAACAATGAGACCGAGAGAAGTGGCAGAGCAGATCCAGAAGGTCGTCCTGAAAACACAGAACTGACAGAAGGACACTGGAGAACAGAAGGGCGACAGAAGGACACTGGAGAACCAACAGAAGGACACTGGAGAACTGACAGAAGGACACTGGAGAACCAACAGAAGGACACTGGAGAACTGACAGAAGGTCATTTAAGCTGCTTGGACATTGTCAAAAGCACTACAGCAGTAAAGATTAGTTCAGTATTTTGAGGCTGTGAGTTCTGATTTTGGGTGGATTCATCATGTCATCTTCCGACCTAATCAATCACAAATATACACAAACACACTTGGAGATAATATTAACAAATAGTCAAACCCACACTAGAGATATATTTCTGTTGAGGCAACTTTGCATTTATTAAATATAAACAGACATGATTAAATTTCATACAAATATAAATAAAAACATTCCAGGCACAGAGCTGCATGACACAGTGTTGATGAGCACATTATCAGCATGTTTGTGTATGTTTTGAAGTGTGTGTTTTTTCATGCTTTAAGCATGTTTTAAGTGTGTTATGAGCGTGTGAGCATGCCCAGATTGAGCAGAATGGAGCTCAGGTTCATGCTGATGAAGGCTTGACCGCGGTCGGTGGTTCTGTGCATCTCCTGCAGGAACAAGTGCAGTGACGCCGCTTCAAACAGACGCTTGTTCTTCCTGAAAAACAAACACCAAATCAGTGTATCTGCACAACAGCTGACCTCCAGAACACACACACACACACACACACACACACACACACAACCTTCAGCTCTCTTCATCCAGACTGACAGCAGGAGTGTTTCTGCTCTGTTTACATGCACAATCTGAAGCCCATCCTCCATAATCATGAGCATCAGCAGCTCCACACCGGTTCTGAACATGATCTCTTTATGCTTGTGAACATCTGATGACTTACTGGAGCCTTACACAAGCCTGTTCTGCTGCTCAGCATCTAAAGTTTTTCACATATTTTTATCTGTTTCTCTATGCGTTTCACCATCAATGCAAGTGTGTTGCCTCTTCTTGTTGAATCACTGAATGCCTCCTCTACTGTCAGTCTGCTAGATGACTAGTGTAAAGTGACCCCTCTCAGCCACTGTAGTCTGATGATGATGATGATGATGATAATGATGATGAAGACACACTGACCGGATGCAGGAGAGCTTCTGGAGGATCATGAGCATCTTCTCCAGCAGCGGCGGCTCCAGACGAGGGTTACGGAGGACCTGAGACACACAGCGGAAGAAACCCTCCGTGCTGCACTGATCCAGGAACAGCGGCAGCAGCGCTGAGGACACACGAGGGTTAGTGTTAAATAGTGTGTGTGTGTGTGTGTAGGTCAGTGGTTTACTGTGAGTCTGATCTCAGTCTTTCAGACTGCAGCTGATTTAGGATCAGTTCAGGGACATATGGAGCACATTATAGCAAAACACACACACACACACACTCACACACACTCAAACACATGGGAACTGCGCTCCAGTTAGAACACACACTTTATAAACTCAAACTAAACACACACTTAATAAACTCACACTGAACACACACTTTATAAACGCTGAGCTCCAGCTGTTGCAGAGTTTACAGGGGGAGGATTGTGGAAAGTGTGTGTTTTTATAGCATGTGTGTGTTTTAAAGTGTTCAGTGTGTGTGTATAAAGTGTGTGTTCAGTGTGTGTGTAAAGTGTGTGTTCAGTGTTTTAAAAGTGTTCAGTGTGTGTGTGTGTGTGTGTGTGTGTGTGTATATAAATTGTGTGTTCAGTGTGTGTGTAAAGTGTGTGTGTAAAGTGTGTGTGTATAAAGTGTGTTCAGTGTGTGTTTTAAGTGTTCAGTGTGTGTATGTGTGTGTATATAAATTGTGTGTTCAGTGTGTTTATAAAGTGTGTGTTCATTGTGTGTTTTAAAAGTGTTCAGTGTGTGTGTGTGTGTGTGTGTGTGTGTGTGTGTGTATATAAATTGTGTGTTCAGTGTGTGTGTAAAGTGTGTGTGTAAAGTGTGTGTGTATAAAGTGTGTTCAGTGTGTGTTTTAAGTGTTCAGTGTGTGTATGTGTGTGTATATAAATTGTGTGTTCAGTGTGTTTATAAAGTGTGTGTTCATTGTGTGTTTTAAAAGTGTTCAGTGTGTGTGTGTGTATAAAATGTGTGCGTTCAGTGTGTGTGTATATAAAGTGTGTGTTCAGCGTGTGTACAAAGTGTGTCTTCAGTGTGTGCGTATAAAGGTGTG